TAAGTGCCTTCTATGCATAGAAAGGTTATATATATATATATATATATATGTGTGTGTGTGTGTGTGTGTGTGTGTGTGTGTGTGTGTGTGTGTGAATACTAAGACAAGCATTTTGCTTACTCATGCTTATGACCCATATGGACATGATCTGACTTACATACAAATTCAACTTAAAGACATCTCAGGAATGGAACTCATCTGTAACCTGGTAATGTCTGTGCAAGGTATTTACATCTGGCCAATCCGAATGGTGTGTGGCCCTGTGGGAGACCCAGTCCCACCCTCCATTACAGGAAGTTTAATGTGGCAGTCTGGTCTTCTCCCTCTCCTTTCAAGCTGATCAGGACCAAAGCTTTCTAACTAAAAGCCTTTAATATGACCAGCTAGGCTGGCTCTGAAATTCAAATGAAGAGCACTGCAGAAAAAAGCAAAATCAGATTATTGGCTATTAGGGAAATGAACATTAATGATCCCTTCCAAACCAAAAAATGTTGGCTCCACCTTCAAGATGAATCAAGCTGCTTATGGGTCAATTACCTGAAGCATCCAACACTTCTCCACTGGCTCACCCTCTTAACCAGACATCATAAGATTGGACTAACAATGTTGGGTCTGCCCCTTCTATACCAGTTAGCTCATTAGACTTTTTCACAGAATTTTAAACTGCCTGATTCTCAGCAACTCCTTGGCTGATCTCGGGGTCCACTGGTTTGGCAATCCAGCCATGAATGCCAGTTCCTCCTCCCCTTCTGAAGCAGCATCCAATTCAACAACCTTTGAAGGTATTATAGGAGAACTGGGCCCAAGCCCTACATTAATACAATGCCATCACCCAAGGCATAAAGTCATTACTTATGGCCAAAAAAGCTCCTAGTATGCTAAGTGCCATCCAGATTAGACCTGTAGAAATTAAAAACTATGCTTCTGGAAACTTTGCCTTTCCAATGTGCTTGTGAGAGGAGTCATGATTATTACACTAGGCAAACACTTTGGCCTACTAGAACAAATGATTTGCCAAATTTATTGGCCAACTATCTTATATATACTAATAAACTGTCTTGTGGCCTGATCAGTGCTTTACACTCATCTGCAAAGCTAAGTCAAAGCAACATTCCTCTGGAATAAAGTTTCAACCTGAACATGACCATTTATAACAATGCCATTAGTACCATTTGCAAGACATCATTTCAGATTAAAAATTCCACATATGTGCTGGGCTGTCAATGCACTGATTAACTGTTTCAATCAATGCTTTTACCTCCAGTGCCTATCCTAACATCAGCATGGTATGATGTAATACATGGAGCATTAAAAAGCATTATAATTACAGAAAGTCCTGAGCAAAGACCAGCAGCAGTTTAGCTATTTTCACAGGTTTGGGATTACACTACTTAGCTTATCCTTCTCTGAATGCTGAAAAATATTAGCTAATGTCAGATGAAGCCAGCTTTTAATGTGACTAGTCCAGGCCTTTTTCTTCCTTGTAGGTAAAGCAAGGTATCACACATACAGGGATGGATTAAGTGAAAGACTAAGAAATTCAGAAAAGGTTTTTAGAAGTTCCAGGTATCAAATATCTTACAGAGAGTGAGTGAGTGAGTGAGTGAGTGAGAGAGAGAGAGAGAGAGAGAGAGAGAGAGAGAGAGAGATAAATGGAATAGGACTGTACCTGATCTCTCCAAAACTAAATCCATGACCTTCTGTCAAACAGTTTATGTCTGATCCCTCTGTGACAGAACAAGTCAGAGGCAAAAGTATCTGAATGTTGTGGTTAAATGCTATTAAAATTTATTACTGTGAAGATGAATAGACAGTCAACCAAACAGCAAGGTCAGTTGATTTCCCTGTTCCTTTACCAGATTCTGCGTATGGAAATCTCTGAGCATTTAACCATGCAATCCTATGTGTGTGTGTGTGTGTGTGTGTGTGTGTTCAATGGAAATTATTCCCTGTAAACGAAGTGTGCTAATTTGTGGTATGGCTGCAATTCTTTGCATAGTTAGAATATGAGAAGAAGCCACGCTGGATCAGACAAAGGGGCCATCTAATCCATCATTCTGTTCATGCAGTGACCAATCGGCTCTCCACAGGAAATCCCCAAGCAGGACATGAGTGTAACAGCATCCTCCCACCCATGTTCCCCACCAAATGGTGTACAGAGATGTACTGCTCTGATACTGGAGGTAGCACAGAGCCATCAGGGTCCACTGATATAATTTGAGATGATATAGTATATGAAAGAAGGCCCCATCGAACTTAACAGTGTTTACTTCTGAGTATAGATGCAGAGGATTTCTCAAGTAAATGATCTTGCACAAATCCTTCTGTGTATAAAGACAGCACAAACAGAAATACTTAATTTCACAATGGCTCCCTAGCTTAAGGATATAAATTCTGTAGTGCAAAAAAGGTATATGGCATACAGGACAATTAGGTTTAGATTACACTCCAGGTTTGTACAAAGATTCTCTTCAGTTATGAATGGATACATTTCAATTGTTATAGCAACCAGTTAATATCCTCGCTTGTTCAGTAAATCTAAATTAGAAACTTGGATTTAAATCAGCCTGGATATAATTTCAGTCATCTTGATTTAAATGAAAACACTCCACAATTCATTTAGATCACTGTGACTCAGGGATGTATCACTTTGCTTTTTCTGGATTGAACTTGGGATATATTAAGAGTTTTGGAAGGATCATTATAAGTGAGAAATTCAGGCTATAATCCCACTCAAACTTAGCAGAGAACAAGTTCCACTGAACCAAATGGAACTTACTTCCAAGCAAACATGCTTAGGACTTCGATGTAAGAAAACAGCTTGCTGATCCATTGTAATAACTAGTCTCAGTGGCTTCCAGTTATGCTAGTGTAAATATAAATGGCTTGTTAACGCCTACCATACAGCCTCCAGTTAGTGCTGTAAATTCCAGTCAGTGCTAGTAACCAGTTAATTGCAGACTTTTATATTTCCAAAGGCAGCCTAACTTCCTGTTCCAGAAATGCCTCTTTGTAAAGCATGGTCTTCAATACAATAAATGGTTGCAACGTAATTACTCTGCAACAAATTTCTGCATGGCCACTGTAATACCTAAATCAAGGCAGAAAGGACTTCTCTTGTGCCCTCATGAAGAAACAATTTCCCCTTTTTTCTAATAAATTCCAGCTTGAGGTTAAGTTGCACACAATTTAGAAGCTGGTATACCAGACTGTGAACTGTTGATGCCAAAGGTATTATTATCTTGCAATCTCTGTAATGTCCTCTTGACGTATTCATCTTAAAAACAATTATGCTTATTTGTGAGCATCTAATTAACAATAGTGTTATCTGCATGCATCTACTCAGAAGTAAGCCCCAATGAGCTCAGTGAGACTTGCTCCCAGGACCATGTGTGTACAAGATTGCAGCTTAAGCCCTTAAAAATGAGGCAAACAGTTTTACAAGGTAGTTCTGTTATTTTGTCCTCCAGCTGCTGCCAGTCCACAAGTGCATCTGCCGAATACCACACTGAGTGAGAGATCTTCTGGAGACGTCTGCCACGGCAGAAAACAGGATAGTTTAGACACCTTTCACAGCACCCATCAGCTATTCTAGTGTCATTGCAAAACAGCAAATAAAGCACAACAATGACAAAGAGCAAGCAAAACTGCTACAAAATGCAAGAAGGGAGAAAAGGTCATGGCTTCTCGGTAGTAATTGTGAGCTTCAGAAAAAAAGAATGGCTGAACCTTCTCAAAGGAGGGTTTCCATGTGCACAAGTCAAACCAGCACAGGAAAAGCTGGCTCTTGTTTCTTACCCACTTTTATATCATTCAGCAGTTGGTGACTGTCAATATTAAAACAACTGCAAGATGATCCAGAGGCAGTATTAGCCCAACTGGAGTTGCTGTTAGCTAGATATGGCCTAGCTCACAAAGCCACACTACTCCTGGATTTAGGCTAGAGTTTCTGCTGTACTTGCAGGTTTTTAGCTGAGTTATCTATATATTAGCTAGAATGCAAACCAACAAATGCTCAAATATCCAACCAACCTCTTCCTCTTCCCCTAACAGGGTTTTTTTAAGTAACTTCCCACAAACATGAAAGAAAATATGTTTTGTCACATCACTTCTGTATAAAATTAATCTAATGGACTAGGCCAATATCCTTATATTAACCTGACAAATAGAGATGAGGGGTTGGACTGCAATGAAAATGTTAACCAAGAACCAAGCCATTCAAACATAAGGGAATTTGGGGGGTGGGGGGGGGAACCTGCTTAAGAGGAAAGGAATATAAAATTAAGCCAAAGGGTGAGACAGTGATTAGAAGATTTGGGAGGAATTAAGGTCCAGGGACAGACATTTGCAGAAAGGCATTTAAAACGGATATATGGTTTGGATCGGAGCCGCAGCTATTCAAGAGAAGATGTAATGGAGGGTGGCGATTAGGAAAGGCCAGTTGCATCCCACCACTCGGGCGTGATAACGGAAGCGTGGGGAAGGAGAGCGCTGGGCGCCTACAATACTCGAAAAAGACTCGTGGGGTGGAGGAAAGCGCGATGGCAACTTCAAGGCAACGTGGTGCACGATCGCAGGAACCACAATACTTAGGAGAAAACTCCCGGCAGAAAGTGAGAGCGGGGGGGGGGGGAATGCCGCACCCCTTCGCGCAGGCAGGCGGGCGAGGAGCTGGCCCCGAGCGTTCTAGAAGGAGACACACACCCGCACCGCCACCTCCTCCCACGGACGGAGCGCCGCAGCGAAAACGAGAAATGGGTGCTCGACCGCAGCCACCAGTGCCTAGAAGCAGCAGGAGGAAGTCAAGTTTGCAGCAGCAGCACCGGGCACTGCAGTGCCAGGCGCATCCGCCGCAATGAGAGCCTCTGGGCTTCAGAAGCAGCAAACGCCGGTAGGCCCCAAAGCCGGCTGACGAGGCATCCCCGCCTGCCTCCTCTCCCCTTCCCTTAGTCACGCAGCCCTCCCGCGGCGGCGGCAGCCGCTCCCTCTATGCCACTGACCGATCACCTCCTGCAGTTCATAGGCGTCCCGGCAAATGGGCCAGCCGATGGCTTGGGGGGCCGGAGCGGGAGCCGCAGGCGGTGCACTAGGCGCCTGCTGTGGTGGCGATGGCAGCAGCGGCGGCTGCGGAGGCTGCTGGACGTGAACGGGCGAGTCGCTCTGCTCCGCCATGATGCTGCCGGAGCGCACAAGCAGCGACCTTCCTCAAACTTGCCTGCCGGCAGCACCTTTAACCCTCATCTGCAGCTCGCTCGCTCGCTCGCCCATTCACTCCCTCCCTCTCTCCCATCCTGCCTGCCAGCCAGCCAGCAGCCGCACGGCGGGGAGGAGGGAGCGCACCGAGGGGGCGGAGGCTGAGCCAGGAACTGCCGCTGGATGCTGCCTGCCGCACGCGTGCGAAGCAGAAATCGCCAGGCGAAATCCACATCGCGGATCGATGGCATGACAGCCCTTGCTCGTGGCGCGACACGCACGCACTCGCTTCCCGGCAGGACGGGTCTGGAGCCCAGGCTTGCGAAGTATGCTTGAGCAAGCTGAGGGGATAGCCTGGGAAAGACTTGCAGCAAACAGCCCGATTCTCCTGGTGCAAGTCTGCTCGCAAGAGAAGTCCTGGTGATCTAATCGGACTTACTCCCAAGAAAGTGCTGTATAGCCTTATTTTGGAGTACGCCCCTTTGCACATTGAAGTCAGCGTGCATCGTACTGGGCTGCGATAGATATGAACGGAAGCATGTTGCGTGTCGCTCTTATTTTAGAGAAGGATGAAAAGACTTCAAAAACTGGGAGACCTGGGCAGCCCCTCGCCTACCGTAGGACCCATGCTCAATATTGCTTCAGTGAGCTTAAACCAGTGTCTTTTCAATGCACACTTCTTGAAGCTCCCTTTCATGCTCAGGTGTGGATAATCAAGCGGTTTTTCTTTCAGCTAATGTTTATGAGGAAAGTGGGTTACGTTGCTTTACTGATTACCTGCTGCATAAGATCCGCATCCTACATATATGTGAAGTAATTAAAATACTCCAAAGGGAAAGAGTTAAAGCTCTTGATTCCCACACGCCCCTACTTTGGACGCTTAACTTGTGAAAGGTGTCAGCGCTACAATGCTCAACCCTATGCATGTCGAGGCATAGGGGAGCCTACAATTCCCAGCATGCCCCCATCAGTTGTACTGGCTCGGGCATGCTGGGAGTTGTAGGCCTTTAAAAAAAAACTGCCTAGACATCCATAGGATTGAACCCTAAGAGGTACTTTCTGGAGCAGAAGGTAATTGTGTGGATGCTTTTTGTTTACAAGTGGTGCTATGCCCATATTCCTTAAATTCGATATCAATAAGATAATCAGCTAGATAGCAAGACTCTAGTGTGTTCCAGGTTGAAAATGTAGGCCTCACACAAATGCTGTAGCTTTTGAAAGTATTTCCATAAGTGTCAGTGTAAACCCTTTTTTATCCACACTGTGAATGTTGTTAACAGCTCATGTACCATTTTTAAGTCATACATTCTGCTCAGTATAACTTTTTCATCTAATGTATAGATGTGAAATTTTTAAGCAATTTTTCACATCATTTGTGAAGTCCTTCATTTCCAGTTGAGGTTTCATGTTTGTTTGGTTGTTGGGTTTTTTGTTTTTGTTTTTTGGCAGCATAGGATATCTTTTTTTCCTTCTCCCTATGAATGATGTTTTTTCTTAGTCTAACTAGGGTGAATCATTATTTTATAAATAGATTTTGTAAAAGTGGTGGTTCACATCACATTGTGTCCATTTTCCTCTATAATACCCCAATCACACCTTTAATTTTTGTGAAAGTTACCATATCCATTGGCATATGCCTATTCTTTCAATTGTCATTTCAGGTTTCTTCCTCCACCACCCTCAGTGCTCTGTTGCATTGATCAGCTGGCAGATCTGAATTCATGTAAATACTATCTACTTACTATAGTAAAGATTTTCTGAGAAATTGTCACTCCAATATGGTAGCCCATAATTGAAACTTATCCACTGGTCTGCTATTCCATCACAATGAAGCAGAGATCATGTTCACGGTATATATTAGTCATTTGTAAGCATCACAAAAAACCCACATCAGAATGGAATGTTAGCATCTAATGAAGCAGACACCCAGATTGCATCAACATTAACCTTTGAGTAGACCCATCTGAATAAATGGCATTATGCATGGTCTGAGGATCATCCTAGAAACATCAGTCCCATGCCACAGCCCTGTCATTGTATAAAAACAGTGTTTCTAAGCATATGCAGAGCACCATCTCTCTGTTGCTTGGTAATATCTGCAGTTCCAAAATAGAGGTTGAACTTCTTGCATGCCTCACTCTCAGAATTTCGTTTTCAGATGTTATTCAGTGACAGATGCTTATTTTTGTGCATTCAAGTTTGCATAAGAAAAAGTATAACTTTATAAAAAGTGTTAATAAAGAACAAGATATCTGTGAAGTCAAGGTACTTTTCTGTCCTTTTATCTATCAGTCTGTTCTATAACTGGACATAGGAGCTAAGTGTGTTTATGTCATTTGGCAGCCCTGTCCTAGCTTTAGAGAGTCTAGCAATGCTGCTTTCTAGGTACTAGTCATTTCCAAAGGAAAGCCCTTGTCCATGCATGGGGCTCATCCCATGGCCAGTATGTGCTTAACTGTACAGCTCATTCACATTTAGTCCTCTTGGGCCAGGTTTAGGAAGTTGGGGTTACAAAGGGCAATTTTCTAGAGTACAATTTGGTTTCTAAAACTGATTTTTTTTTTTTTTTGCGGGGGGGGGGGTTCCTTTTTCTGGCACAGCTCCTGTGAATTTCAAAACATGCATCTTGCCAAGTCATTTCAAGTATCCTTTTTGGACACATCAGTGTGATCTTCAGCAGTGCATGTACATAACTGCACTGTAAAGCTGCCTGGAAAAGTTAATGTTATTCAAAGCAACAGGGAAATTATTTGGTATACCATGAGTGGTTTGTTTTTGAAAGAGCTTTACCAAAAAAGCAAGAACTTTGGGGGAAACTGCATTTCATGCTGGAGCCAAAAAAAGATGAAGGGGTGAGATGTGTGCAGTGTTGAGAATCAGACTGTTTCCTGTGAGATGAATGTGGTCTTTCCATTTGACATCAGCATGGTTAGTTGCTTGTTCATATCAGCCCAGCAAATCCTTTTTCTTTTTCTCATTTTTGCACATCAAAGAAATAGTATTCTGCTTAAAACAGTTTTCAGGTAGTTGAACATGAAGACCTGTACTTTTAGAGTTGTACAGGTTCTTCACTTAAGTGACTCAACTGCTGAGTGATACACACACACAACTCTGTTGCTGCACTGGTTTAATAGTCTAAAACAAGTTAGATAAAATCTTTATAGCACTTCTTGAATTACATTAAGGTGGGACAATGATAATAAAAGAGTAGCATTGGTTTTGAGTTATAAATTTTTTACTACAGGGTTGCTACTTGTATTTTTTTTTCAATTCAAGTGAGAGTTTTTTGGAATCCTTGCTCTGCATCATTGAGTTTATATTATCCCCAGATAAGAAATATACCTTCATAATTTCAGAAAACAACTATTAAAAATTGGAGTGTGCGTGTTCAGTAATCTCTGGCTTCCAACTTTTATTGTCTGCCTTAATTGGATTGTACTTTAGCACATTCCCTTATTAAAAGTGTAATATAAGCAATGTTCCAAAAGACCTTACACTTTCACATTGCTTATTACTGACAGATATTTGTAGGTTTTATTTCAAAAAAAACCATGCTGGATCAACAGCAAGACAGACACAGATGAGGACAAATGCTAATCAGTCCTGGTTACTAATAAAATAGACTGTGCATTGGGAACACCCTATTAAAGCAGTCCAGGTGTATACCATAAAATGATAAGGAAGACAGAGGAATATTGTTAATGAGATGTCAAGGGTTTGCAAGCATAAGTTCTTAAGCACAGCAAATCTTTGTGAGCCATATTAGCATAATACCTTCCTTAGATCAACTCAAGAGGTTGCAAAAAATGTGCAAGCTTTTGAGAGCTCCAGATCTCTTTGTCAGACAAGACATTACAAAAAGCAATTTGGTGTGGGTAATAGGAGAGAAGAAGAAAGTTGACTTAAGGTACAGTGAATAGATTTTGATAGCTATATAACTGATAGAAGTTCAACAGGTGAAAGGGATTACTATTTGGGGCTGCTGGTGGCAATGCTTTTAAGGTCACTAAAATACATTAGACCACTAAAACAACTGGCTATCATACAGCTGAAAATTTTCAACCTTATGGGCAGCTGAAATGAATTATTATTATTATTTATTAATTTCATTTCTATACTGCCCCTAGCAGAAGCTCTTTGAGTATTTACAACCAAGAATAAAAACAATAAATACAAATTGATCAAAACATTAACAAGAGTTAAACCTTTAAAATCAACTTTCCTATGAATCCTAAGAATATGCTTTTGAATATAATACCAGAGACTTTCTCAAAGAACATGTCAGAGTTAAATATATGACAACTGCAGAAAGAATTACAATTTCTTCTAAATGGAAAACAGCAGGGAGTCCAAGAATTGAAGACTGGAAAAATAAGTTGGCTGAGTATGCAATAATGGCAAAATTATCTAATTATGTAAACCAAAGCCCAACTGAAGAATTTAATGATAAATGGAATGAAATTAATGCAGTTTAATTAATATAGAACAAAAGGAAGCTTATTTAAATATTGCTGATGATTTATAATTGATTCAAAATGGTTGGAAAATTTGTTGGTTTAGAGAACTATAATTATCTTTTCTGCAAGCTTCAATAAAGTACTAATTGACAGACATGTTTCTGTTTTGGGGGAATTTGCAGGTTATGAATGTATATGCTATATTTTTGTAAGATCCCTTGAAATTCTTATTTTTCTTTTACATTTTTCTTCCTTTCTTCCTTTATTTCCTTTAAGAAAACAATAAAAAATTAGCAAAAATTTAAAGTCCCCTTTCCCATTAGGAGATTCTAGGTCTTTACAAATGCATCTATACATGAACCCCAGAAAGTGTTTTGAAAGTGGCCTGATACTAAAAGTAAAAATTTTAAAGACACGATTTTTAAGTATCATAGAATCTTGCTGTTTTTCCAATTCAGCTCAGTCCATTCAAGTTCAACCACTAGTCTGCCTCCCTCTTACTTGTCCCAGCTCCATCATCCCCTTTAGCCCTCCCTATTCTCTTGCTCCTGTATGTAACGGATTTCAAAAAACAAATTTATAATGGCAGTGTTCTTCCCCCAAGGAGCTCTCCAGAGAAAATAGAACCAG